ATCAAGATCTTTTATACTTTGAGGAGTTCCAAATTTCTTAAGATAGCTTCGACTTGCATAAAGTGATGCGCTCAGAGTTATAAGAGGTTCTTGAATAATACGATCATTATCTTCCATGTAGGGGCGAATGGCAATGTCTACTTCATTTTGAAAAATATCAATATTTTTATCGTTACAAACAAGTTCTAAATCTATATCAGGATATTGTTCTGAAAATTCAGTCAATGGGTCTGTTAGAATATAATTGCCAACGGCATGAGTTGTACTAATCCTAATTTTCCCTTTCATACTCTTTGATTCAGAAAGTGAAGTTTTCATCGCTTCTATTTCCATCAAGATTCTTTGAGAAATCTTGAAAACCTCTTCTCCTTTGCGGGTGAGCTCAAGGCCCTTAATTTTTCTTCTTAAGAGTTTGTGGCCAAGCTGATCCTCTAGAATCATGACAGTGCGGCTGAGAGCTGATTGGCTTTTATTTAAAACTTGTTCTGCTTTCGTAAAACTACCGGCTTTTACAACATAGTAAAAGGTTTCCATTCTGTCCCACATACGCGGCACTCCCCTTTGTCAAAGTTCTTAGACACATGCCTAGAACTTCCTCTCTATTTTAAAATGCCTAAAAGGCACACCTGTTACTTTACTCTAAAATAGGGACCAAATCACTAACGAGCAACAAGTAGCCTATAAAAAGCACATAGAATTTTTGACTAAAGATTATGTGTTTTATATATAAAAGCCTCTAACCCTTTGATTGGAAATCGTTTATTATTTTTTTCTTTATGAGAATAATTTGACCATAAATTTCGATCTTCTAATAACTCGAAATACGCATGAATACATGTCAAAGAAGAGATTCTTGCGTTTAACGCATAAGTTTTATTGAGAAATTATACTGGTTTCTTAAGGCCTTTTGCTTCTTCCTGTTTTTAGGAACGAAAGACAGGTTGAAGGGGGAGTTTTTTATGACTTTCTATTTGCATTGGTTTTCGCTTCTTCAAGAGTTTGGCTTTAAAGTGAAAAGTATTTTAAAGCCCAAGGATTATCGATAACTCGTCTCCCAAGGGCTATCGATAAAAAAGGGACGCCTTTCTCCCAATTAGTCCCTTAAAGCAAGGTGTTAAGACACCTTTTGTACTTCCCCTGGTGGGGGCCGGATCCCTTTTTCCGGCCCCTCTTTTTTCGCCTTTCAAAGAAAGACAGGCACAAACACGGTGCCTTTGGCTCCTCCCAATCAGTCTAGCAAAGTGTTTCTCCTTTCACTCTGCTATCTTCCCAGTCCTGAGCTAAGCAGATTTATAAATCTGCTCGTTTTTTATCGCTCCTCAAGAATCAACGTCTTGAAACCAAGAGTGAATCTTATTTTTTAACAAAACCGTGTCTAAAATACAACAAAAAAGTTAATAAAAAATATTCCTATTTTGCATAGTATGTTGCCCCCCGAAAAGTGGACAGTTGAATAAGCTCAAAATAAAGTTCTTTTTCGCATTTTAAGAAGGCAAAAGAAAAATGAGTAAAATAC